GAGGCAGAAGAACAGCTGGAGCCTGTTCCCAGTGTGCGCATGCGCAGAGCTGCCAGACAAAGGGAACATCTAAAGAACAGGGGGTCGACTTGGGAGGAAGGCCACAGGTGGACGGTGAATGGCCCCTCCCATGGGGAATAAAAGAGGAGCGCAAGGGGAGTGGAGTTTGCAGGAGACCATTAGTTCATTCCTGCATTCTTGCCAAGTATCTGAAAGATCTCTGGCCTGGCCACTCTCCAAGCCTGCTCAAGGTCAGTAATTGGGAACTCTCTTGAAAGACGGTGGGAGAGGAAAGACTTTACTGGAGAGGAATTCACTGTCAATTCAATAAAAGGGGTTTATCGGGACGAGGACTCGGCTTCGTCCTGCTGGGGAAGCCTAGGTCAGAACAGTCTTCTCCGGGAAACTTTTAAGTCGCTAGTCCTCATTGTTCCTCTTTCCTTTCAGGAATCCCGCAGAAACCCCAAATCTCTGGTTACTCAGGTCCTCTTAGGGAAGGAGGCGTGGCCGTGTTGACATGTGTCTCTTCTGGCAGTAAGCCAGCAGCTCAGCTCAGATGGAATAAGGGTGAAAAACTCTTGACAGGTAAATTGCCAACACACAACTATTTAAGAACCTAAGAAGGATGTTAGATTGGGCCCATCTCGTTCGTTTGCATTCTACCTGCGAAATCTTCACCAAATTGGGAGCGATGCCTTTACCATTCGGTATTGGCAGGTAGACTGCGCTTGAACAGGGAGGCACAGATGCTAGTTTCCCCTTTCTGGTTTAGCTCCGTCTTCCTTTAAGGCCTCTTAAATCAGGTTGTGTGACCCTTAGCATACAGTGACCTGTGGGCAGGAGATCTCTTAACTTAATTAATGCAATTAATGCCTAAGCAGGGGGTTGGACTAAAAGACCTCCAAGGTCCCTTCCAACTAGTCTATTTTATTCTCCTCTCCTCTATGCTCTTCTATTCTCCTCTTTTCTTTTCTTTTCTTTTCTCTTCTCTTCCGTTTTCTATTCTATTCTGTTTCCTATTCTATCCTATCCACCTCTTCTCTCCTCTCCTCTATTCTCTTCTATTCTCCTATTCTCTTCTATTTTCTCTTCTCTTTTATTCTGTTTCCTATGCTATGCTATGCTATCCTATCCTGTTCTCTATTCTCTTCCATTCTCCGATTCTCTTCTCTTCTATTTTCTCTTCTCTTCTGTTCTATTCTATTCTATTCTGTTTCCTATCCTATCCTCCTATCCTCTTCTCTTCTCTCCTTTATTCTCCTATTCTCTTGTATTTTCTCTTCTCTTTTATTCTGTTTTCTATCCTATCCTATCCTGTCCTGTCCTGTTCTTTATTCTCTTCCATTCTCCTATTCTCTTCTCTTCTATTTTCTCTTCTCTTCTGTTTTCTATTCTATTCTATTCTGTTTCCTATTCTATCCTATCCTCCTCTCCTCTCCTCTTCTCTCCTCTATTCTCTATTCTCTTCTATTCTCCTATTCTCTTGTATTTTCTCTTCTCTTTTATTCTGTTTTCTATCCTATCCTATCCTATCCTGTTCTCTACTCTCTTCCATTCTCCTATTCTCTTCTCTTCTGTTTTCTATTCTATTCTCTCCCCTAAACACATTGTGATCCAGAATCTTAAAGGATGCATTTCGATAACCTCTTGCACCTAAGTCACCCACCCCTCTCTCTTCTCTCCTTTTGCTAAGCCACCAATCTATATTTTTTTTCCCTCTCTCTCTCTCCCAAACAGGCCAGCCATTGGAAGTCTCCAAAGATGCCAATGGGAAAACCTTTACGGTCACCAGCCAAGTAGAAATTACAGTCGGCAAAGAGGACGACGGCGCCAACGTCTCGTGCACGGTTGATCACTCGTCTCTGCAAATCTCTGAGAAATCGGCCTTGCAGCGTCTCTCCGTCTATTGTAAGTGACCTGGGCCAAGCACGGGACTTTATTTTGAAAAATCTTGCAGAATTATGACAGTTTCTAAGCTTGCCAAAGCTGTTTCTCAACATTGGCCACTTCCAGATAGGCGGACTACAATTCCCAGAGTTCCTCACACCCCGTTTTTAATTTTTGGCACCCTGCAAGGCAGTGGAGAGGAAGGAGGCAATTGACATGTAGACATGAGCAAAGGGGGTGGGGAGGGTGGCAGGTTTGATGGACCAAGAGGTGTGAGAGCCGGTGTTGTGGCCCACCAGCGGCCAGTGGAGCTGGCAGCAGANTAGACAGACAGACCTAAGGTGACTCTCTCTACCCCTTCTCTCATTCCCCCTCCTTCCTTGACCTAGCATTGCGAGACCTTCGAATACAGCTGGAGAATTCGACGGCCAACGAGTTGAGCATAAGCATCGATAACACCACTCTGGCTGATGAGGGAGAATATACCTGCACGATATTCACCCGGCCCGTACGGACTGCGAAAGCGATGGTCACCGTCTTGGGTGAGGCAAAGGGGTCAGTGACAAGAACATGTCCAAAACGGGGGGAGGGGTCTGTTCCCATAATATTTCAGTCTTCCCAAGATGTTGGGACTAGCTCCATCCGGAATATCCCAGTCATATCCTGTCTTGAACTCACAACCACAATCGAGCCCAAAATTTCCATCTGCCTTGGAAGGGCAAGTAGTCCTCAACTCACAACCACCAACCAATTTTCCGTTGCTAAGCGAGACAGTTGCTGAGTGAGCTTTGCCTCAACTTTACGACTTTTCTCAGCGCGGTGGATAAGCCAACCATGCAGCTGTTCACACGGTCGTTAAGTGAATCCGAGTTCCCCATTGACTTGGCTCATCAGAAGGTCGCAACACAGGATCGCGTGACCCCCGGGACGCTGTGACCGTCATAAGTACATGCCAGTGGCAGAGTGTCTGAATTTGGATTATGTGACTCCAGGGAATGCTGCAGCGGTCCTAAGTGTGGGGAAACGGTCATCATTCACTTTTTTTCAGCGCCGTTGTAACTCCAAACGGTCACTGAATGAATGGTTGTAAGTCGAGAACTGCCTGTACACTTCTGAATACAGGCCCATGAGTTGCAAGTTCCCAGGGGAAAACGAGAATGTATATTGGGGAAGTGGGGAGAATGAAAAATTCCAGGAATGGAACAACTGTTTTGTACATCCCAGAAACAAGATTATTGTTGAAGAAGCAGCAACAATTGTGACATATTTAACAACGAGGCAGGGAGTGTAAAAAGGTACAAGGGACTTATCATCACATATGGTGGCCCTGCCCGGAAACACAAAAATATTGGACAAAAATTTGGAAATGGGT